AATGTCTTTCTGACATATATCATAGATTTCTCCCCAAAATGTATATAATAAGCAGGTAAGAATAAATTTAGCGAAAGTAAAATAAAATGCTCAATAGCAATGTCACATGATGGAGCATCCGGAATCGGGCTCGTCCACATGGATGATACACACTTGCTCGCATCCATGGAAGGTAACATTGTCTACTTTCGGTTCAGGGTTATTATTCGCTTCCGATTTGGGTGGAGGTCCAATACTCACTACGTCAACAAATTTCCCAGTTTTCTTTGTATGAATTAACACGTCATAGGGGTCTACGGTGCCGGTAACAGTCAAAGTGCCGTTAGCGACGTCCACCTCCACCTTGTCAACACCTGCAACAACCAGCAGAGAAGCCACTACTTATTCATTTATTTAGCTTATCAAACAACAAACTCCGTGCAATGTTAATATGATGAAGGCTAGAAAAAAGATTGACGTTAATAATTCTCAACTGAAAACAAATATCAATCTGTTTGCAATTAATATTGTGAGAGGTGTATATAGTTGTTGGTGTGTTTACCTCGTAACCCCGATATTGCACTTATCAGCTCCTGTTTGCATTTCTGACAATAAATATTGACCTTCATAACAGTTGTTTGTACCATGGAGTTGGAGGAGAGGATCTACCACTCTTTCAGACTATAGAATTTAGGCCGTTTGGATATGGAGATCGAGCTTTTATACGTTATTCCAAGGCGGAGAATGGAGATCACCACAGTAGAGCGCGCTTTGGGTTGTTCATCATCATCTTCTCTATAAATATGTTATGACTTATGAGGAATCATCAACAAATTAACGAAGAGACCATGCAGCTGCTTATGTCATGTTCTGTTGATCTAATTGGGTCATCAAAAGAAGGTATGCCTAGCTTATATATGACTCAAAGACTTATGGGGTCTCAACTTAGTGAGTGTTTGCCTAGCTAGCTAGATGCATGATTTAGTTTGCTTTTATCAAGTGGTTCAAAAAACCATATTCCTACATTACCAACGCTGTTGCTTGAAGTTTCTTATATTGACTTTGAATTGTTTATGAATGCATAACTCATTTGCTTCTAATGTAGTCAATTGCTACGCAGCCACATGGATCATGACCACTTCAACAATCCAAGCCCATATGCATGGATTGCATGGTCTATATACCAAAATATTGTCATCAAGTTAACCAATTAATTAAGTTAATTAGTATGATATGATTATCATCATCTAACTTCTAAATCAATGTCATATATAGGGAGTAAATTGATCCATTACCAAACACCCCATCAGTATTTTATCTAGAATTTATTTATTATTAACTAATTTTCTGTTTCTATTGTTGAGTAGATGTTGGAGTTGAGTTGTTTCCCGTTTCTTGTGGTCAGGATAACTGAAATCTCCCTTTTTAGTCAAAACGTTCAGTGCACATGCAGATCAAGTTGTTCATATATCAAACAAATATCTCACTGGGTTGATTAAGCAAGATGCAGTTTAGTCAAGCTTTGAACCTTTGAATATTAGTTAGTCATGAAAGTAAGAGTTCAGAGAGACAGAGAGAGAGAGAGAGCCTCAAACAATTGGATCCTAATTAACACGAGACAATTAGGAAATATATATATATATATTTTACCCTTCCAGTTGTTATGTTTCATGATCCAACCTATAAACAAAGACTCGTAAGTATGAGGTGCAACTGAATCTGGACGGGCTTTACTTCGCTCCTATCATGGTCAGATGAAACCTTAAAATCTAAAATTCAGCCCCTTAAACCCTAAAATTTAAGTGTAAAATAGAATTGATGCATCCTCCGACTGAGTATAAACCAATATATATTTTCTCAAGCAGCTGGACGGGTGATCTTACAAGCAAATGAATATGACTTTAATTTTCAGTTATTTTAACTTGTGGCTGTAATAATCAAAAGTATCAGCAGACCTGAAAACATCTGGTGATACTTTTTTGATTGGATTGCCATCAGCTTGTTTGTATTTTATTGGGTATAACTTCAGCTTCTTCTATGCTGTTGAGAGAGTTTTTGGGCTGAGCACATTCACCTATTCACGCCCATATCTTTCTTTTTGTTCAAAATAAATTAGGGGGCAATTACTAATTTATCCATCCTCATGATAATGTGGCAATCCTAAAAACACTCTAAACCGCATAGGTTGTTGGCCCCCAACAGCCAAAGTTTTTCCATCACAGATGAGCTGGGACTCAATAAAAGGACTTCCAAAGGAGTTCAACTTGTGAACGCGATCATGCTTCACTACACAAAATCATGCATCGCCCAATTAAAAAAGGACCAATTCTCAGCTGTTGAAATGTATTTAACATGTTAGCATACATGTATGCAGAGATATTAAGAGAATAACACACTATTAGATTGCAAAGAAAAATGAAAAAGTATGTAGAATACAATTCTCAGTGAAAGAGTACAAATACAAATATGTAGAATACAAAATCTTGTATTTTATATTATTTTTTTCTCATTTATTTCATTTTCTCTTGTTTTCTTCATAATCAAATAGTATAGGAGCTTTGGATTCCCGACTTATGAACCATGAATGTTCTTCAATTGTGTTGATATTTAATCCCTGCCAACTATATATATGGACCATGCCCTGATGGAGTTCAACACAAGATTGCGTTCAGATGATTAATTGAACTCCTTTTTTGAGGGATTGGGATCTCCTACACTTTTCTCGTGCATACTCTATTCAGTCTGTGACAAGTGTCTTCTTACAGGTGTGTAATATGCGAGTAAAATGCATGAAAAAGTTTACGAGATCTGGAGTTTAGCTATGGAGAAGGAAGCTACTTTTTCCATAAAAGTTATATATAAATTGATGCATGCATTAGGATTAGCTGAATGCGATGGTTGTGAAATTTAGCTGTGGAATCAAAGACAACGCTTCACACCAGTTATAAATGCAAATTGAGAGGGTGAGTGATTGTGCGCTATATGCCTTTAATGACTGCCATGGTCCGTAGGATATTATTATTGAGCATTAATCTTATTTGGTTGGTATGTCAAAGAAATTTTGGGAAAATTTATGCTGATGGAAAGACATCATACAGAAAATGCTTGAATTAGTTAAACAATTTGGCTATTTAACGGGCTGTGGAACCAATGATAAGGTTTTACGCCACTAATATATATTATATATAATATATACTTTATTATATATATTATATATTATATATTATATATAATAATAAAAAATTCGGTTAATTCAGTTAATCAAAATTTTAATTTCAAAAACTGAAACCGAAAACCAAAATAATTAAATCGATTTAACCAAAAACCAAAAAACCAAATCAAAAAAATCAAAACCAAAATTTTCGGTTCAGTTATTCGGTTTTAACCGAATTATACTCACCCCTAGTCACGGCCCTTTTTAGGTATCATGTTTTTCTAGTATCGTATGCAGAAGGTTCCCCGTCAAATCTAATTAATTCCCAAGGTTTTGAAAACCACTTGGAAATAGAACCGGTCAGGGGATCGGTTTCTGGGTCACTGGTCAACCATTTGGCTCGATCGGTTCAATCTGTGATGTCATAAATAAATTAAAAATGGAAAATAATTATAAATAATAAAAATTTAATAAAATACAGAAAAAAAAACACAAATTACAGAAAAAACATTTAAAACCATATAAAATAAAACAATAAAATACAGAAAACATAGAAAAAATACAAAAAAAAATTTCTAAAAAATACAGAAAAAAAAAGAAAAGTGCAAAAAAATACAGACATAGCAAATAAGCAAGAGTGAAGGAATTTGAAAAAAAAATAATAATAATAATAAGCAAGGAATTGAAAAAACAAGTTAATAATACAAATACGATTTGATATACAGACAAGAATTAAAAATTGCACATAGCAAATAAGCAAGGAATTAAAAAAATATAATGAATAATGATATAAAAAAGATTTGATTAAAAAAAAACAAACAATTTAAGCAAACCAAAGTTTGTGTGAAGGATGAAGCATTTTATTTCTTCACGGTTTCACTGCCACTAGTAGTGGTGGTGTCACGGTGTTGAGCTCACAGAGAGGGGAAAATTGCCGCCGGTGGACTGTAGTTTGGTTGCCGGTGATTGCCGCTGCAACTCCGGCTGATGGCAGAAAGCTAGAAACAGATTCCCGCAGGCCCGCAGCTACAATAGAAACTCCGGTGATTGCCACTATTGATCGTCGTTTGTCTCTAAACGATGGTCGCCGCTGCAAATACTGAAGCCTCTACTGCCTTGCCGCTGTAGGTCACTGTTGCAAATACTGCAAAACCTCCTTGCCGCCGTAGGTTGCCGTACATGAAGCCTCTACCGCCGTCGCTGGTCGTCATGAGTCACCGTAGTTCGTCACTGGGAAGGGAAGAACAAAAATGACTCTCATTCATACCCTAACCCTTATGAAAGGATTTGGGACACGAAAGTAATTTTCTTTTGGTTTTTATTATTTTTTAAATACAAAAAATACAAAATAAAACCCGCAAACTGCTGCCTGGGTCAAACGGTTTAGTGGTTCGACCACCCAGGTCAGCCGTTTTCTAACCTTTTTAACGGGTGTTTGGATATTAATGGTTTACTACTGTATAACCGAAATTGGAGACATGAACAGTTCCGGTTTTTCTGGTCCAGTCCGGTTTTGAAAACTTTACTAATTCCCGAGTCATTTCTGCGCATGGCATGAACCATGTTGCTGCGGGTGTCATAATCCACAGTACAAGTCAAAACAGGATACCTTCGGCATAACACAGAAGGATCATTTCTGTTGTATCAACTATCAACATTAACATCCTTGTTTGTATATTAATAACATCCTCCAACCTTCTTTGAATTTTGAAGGGAAAGCACCAAGGAGGCAAGGATCAACCGAGATGCAGTGGAAATGCTTTAAGTCGGACCCTGATTTGCACCCCTAAGAATTAATTTGGTGCTCAAAAGGAATCAAAAAACCAAAACTGATTCATTTAAAGAATGCTTGTGAGGAGATAAAAGAGAAAGAAAGAGAAAAGAAACCATGTAGCTTCTATTGACATGACAGCATTGTCTTCTGGTGGCAGACGAAAGCCATCAGAAATATCTAGTATCTCAGCCAAGTTCAAAATATTGCAACATAACAGTGCATATGGTATGAAATGTATTGGTTTTTGAACCCACTTAAACATAAGAAACCTCGCCTAACATTCTTATTCTCAACACATCAACCTGAAAAATAACAAAAAAAAAAAAGTATCAATACTTTGAACTATGATCTCAGCTAAACATCTTGTTCTCAATTTGTCAACTTGTCATGATAACCAGTCGTTTTGGCCTCCCTGGGTGATGAGATGACTAGTTGGTGACCAAGTACCGGCTGTCAACCAAAGAAATAGCGTTCTAAATACAAAATATCGATGAAATTCACAATTAAGTCAATACAGAGAAAAAATACAATAAAATAAGGATAATTAAATTTTTAATCCTGGTTTTACAAACAAAGAAGGGAAGACTGAATAAGCTGATCAGATAGATAATGACAGTCCTTTCAAAGGAACGACAGCAAATTTGACCATTTCATGTGGATCCCTTAGTCTATTGCAATTTCATATCAGCTAAAAGAACAACTTTGTCCTTATATCCCTTGTTTCTATCCAACCACGTACCAGGTACCATCTCAAATGCTTAAAGCAAGCAGTGTGTATATAACAAAACAACAGCAAAGGTGCCAACTGGCTCATTGGTTAAGGTCTTTGGCTGGTTGTATCAGAGATTTTTTTTTTTTTGAAAAAGGTAAGGTAATATATTAAACCGCAAAAAATATGAATCCCGCTTTGGACATGGTTGGCAGGGTTATGGATTGGGGATGGTAGGGGTGCAACTCAAGCCAGATTGCGTTGGGTTAAGATCAACCCTAATCCAACCTGATCTATTGAACCCCCAACCCTAACCCAACCAGAAGTTTTCGGATTGGGTTGACCTGATTTCTCTACATCCTTTTGCCAAGTGTTCTTATTTACTAGACTCAAGTGTTGGGATATTAACCAAAAAAAAGTGTTGGGATCAGATTGGCCTCACCTGGCACCCTACATCTCGAGCACTATAAAGTCTTCACGCTTTTCTTTGTTTCTTGCACTTCTCATTTTTAATCCACTGGCCATAATTATGTTTGAAGTCTTAATCATTGGTTAAATAGTTGGGGGTAATTGATGTTTGTTAATCATAAGTATGATAGTGCAAATTCTATAATTTCTATTTTTTCTAAGTTTAGTGGGATTTTTCTAATCAATTCTTAGTTCTAGTAGAATTGGCCACCCCTATGTATGTTTAAGTGCAAGGACGTGGCAATTAATATTGAAGTAAAATTTGTTTGCATATTGTGCTTATGGTGAATGATTCCCATAGACCCTAGAGTGATATTAGGTGCTTGTTGAGTGACACCTGATTTGTTCTCTTCATTTCTATCTGATTTGTTCCCTTAATTTCCTTTATTTTAACTCAATCTTATTCATAAGATATCTTCCACATTCAAAACAATTGTTATCCTATTTCCTCTATTCACTCCGATCATCGTATTTCCTCTCTTCTTTAGAACCTAGACTACAACCCTTGTCATGGTAACAGTTGGGCATAAAAACAGTAGAGTGAGAAAGAAAAATGACCACTTTAAAAGCTTCCAACATTTTCTTTTTTGATGAATTAACTCCAAAAATAATTTGCTAAAGGATGCGCAAACAAACTATTTTTCATTACCTCTACAATCTTAGCCCAAGATTTTTTTGGGTACCTGTTGGATCAAATTCCAGCAGCTTCAGAACGCTCCATGCTTTTAGTGTCAGATATCCCATGTTCCTTATTCATTTGATTGTAGCAGCTCACTATCTTCTGGTCTAATTCATAGTAGTAAAGCATCTTCTTCAAAGGTTTCAAATCTAGGTCAATGAAATTAACCTACAAGAAATTTCAACTGAAATGAGATCTCAATGCAGTCAAAAGGATGTAGCTTCTTTTGGATAAAATTTACCTACAAGTGTGAGAATGTGGTTTCGAGTCTGAGGATGTCCACTTTGTGCAAAAAAAATGCCAAAGGTTAGGACTCTATTCAGTGTACCTCTCCAAAGACCCTGGATGGCTGGGATTGGGTAATAGCCTTCTTTTCATTCATATCAATCAATGAACAGAAAGATTCCACATATTTTAAAACAACGAGTCTTCCAGAAATTCTAGTGAAGAATTTAAAATGCATTTGGGCTAAAAGGAATTTACAGGACAACTATGACAAAAGCAAATCCAAAAATTGACAGTTGGTAACTGATAACAACCACATAAAGTAACATCCAATGAAGCTTGGAAGATTTTCTTACCTTGTAATCAAAATTTTGGTTAATCGGTTCTAGGCATACAGTGCGATGCGAGAGACTTGGATCCCCATCCTCCCTTGGTCTAAAGCTAATCATAAAACTACAATCCTTTGCAGTTGCTGCAACCAAATAGTCTCTAACAATCTTTAGGCTTTCTTCCAAAGAAATAGAATGTAGACTGTGTGAGAGTTCCCTAACAGCCAAATCTCTACATGCCACACAAGGCTGGGAAACAATGTTGTAATATGCATGAATTGCCCCTTCTATGTCCAATAAATCAAGCTTCTGGGCTTCCAGAAGTCGATCCAGTACTCCTGATCTGAAAATTGCCTCTGCTACAAGCTGCAGAAAACTTGCTGTGCGCAGACCATAGTCTGCCCGGATTATGCCCTCCATCTTATCCTCAAATGACTCACCCATCACAAAATCAGTGCTATCTCTTCCACCTCCCAAGCCACCAAAAATGAGAGAGCTATTTAGGAATATGCGAAAATTGTTCTGAGGTGTGGTAAAGAGTGCCTTGATAGCTTTATGAATTCTCTCACTAGATCCAGAGAATAAATCAAGTGGATCATATTCACTTATCTGGGATATCTGAGATACAAATTAGAGCATGTCAATATGCAGGTTTGATGAAGAAATTCAAGGGAGGTAGTCAAGAAGAGATACATGACTGTTGATGCCTCAGACAAGTTTAATCAATATGAAATGAAGAGAGGTAACTAACTAAATTATTGCAGTAACCAATGTTTTGGAGGCCATAAGGTTCCAGTTCTAGTTATTCCCAGTTTAACTGGGTGGTTAAATTTCAAAACTAACTGAACTAGATGATTTTTATTTTTCCGGATTGGGGCTGGGTTTAGTTTTCAAAACATTGGCAGAGGCAGGTAACCAGAGCCAAGGAAAATGATGTGGAATTTACACATCTTATAATAAATACTGCAGTACTCTGGAATATGCCAAAGGAAGTTGATCTTATTGTTCCACAATTCATAGCAATGTTCTGAAAATCATAATCGTATCGTAAATCGTAGAGAAAATTGAATCAAATCAAATCGAATTGTGAATTGTATCATAAATCATAAAGTTATTTCTATTTTTTACAAATTTGTCAAAAAATTAAATATGCATATGCTTAAAGGCTAAAACTATATAGAAAAGTGTTCTACCCTATTTATAAGTCATATTTACCATATATGTACCTAAAACAATAGAATTTACCACTTATACAATAGAAGTCTAAGATGATATAATCAAGTTTAACTTGAGGCCCCATTCGCTTTTCGGTAAGTTACTTACCCGGGTAAATGCAATTACCTGGGTAAGTTTTTCCTGGGAAACACTTACCCAGGTAAGTGTATTTACCCATGTTCTTTTATTTCCCAAGTAAAAAAGAAAATGACCATTTTAGCCATAAAAATCCATTATTAAAAGGGGCATTTTTATCCCATTCAAGTGTTGGAAACTTCCCCCCCTGGTGGGAAAGTTATTTACCCACCTAGGAGATGGGTATCACTTACCCAGGTAAGTAATACCCAAGAAAATAAACTTTCCTTGGTCCCCACATTAATCTGAAAAAAGAACATGGGATTCTTGGTCAATGGGAACCAAAATCCCATTAACCAACTTTCCCCTCTCTCAAAATCCAAAAAAAGAACGCCCCATGAAAGTCAAATAATCAACATACAATGTCTCTTTATTCAACATATGATAGAAAATAAACTCAATATATGGACTTAAATAACGTAAATAAATCAATGTCTAGTAAAGTCTTTAAAAACAGTCACCCTTGACAAAACTAAATATAATCAAAACAAAATAACAAAGTAGAGAACTAATTCTTAATTGAATTGATTTGAACCACAACGAATTGTATAAATCGTAAGATTCAAACAAAAAATTGCAAGATTTTTGCAGAAAAGGATTCAGACATAAGATTCAAATCAAAACCCTTGGGGTTCATGATTCAAATCATAAATTGTAAGATTTTAACAACATTGCTTCATGGATATTTCCTTGTACTTTAACTCATTTTGTATTTTGAGGAAAAAAACACTTATGATCCAAATTAACACTTTGACAGAAAATCTTAGAAAAACCTAATCTGTATCAGAACAACATTAAATCTGAGAGAAAACACAACCTCTCCTTCATGATGCTTCAGAACTTGATGCATTCTAAAACGAGTTATACTTCGTTTAATAAAATTTCCCTCAGCTATGAATCTTGAAGATGGAAGAAAACCACATTTGGGCTGTGCTATCAAACACAGAGATAAACAAAATGAAAACGAAAAAGTTATTTTGAGCAATGGAAGAATCAACTGAAAAAAGAAAAAAGAAAAAAGAAAAAAGATATCAACAGTAGGAAGCACCTTTATTTCCACGGATATGCATGGCTCCTCTTTGAGAATACCTGAAGTGATGAAGGAAAAGAGATATTTTTTAACACCACGCTGAAAACAATAGACATGAATAGAAATATCTTAATTAATTATATAATAATGCAATATTGGCTTAATACCGTGTGGAATGACCTAATGATTTCTAAGGTTTTTATTTAGTCTCCATGGGAGACCTGTCCCCAATGCAACCAATGTCTATAAACCCCTTGTCTAGATAAGGCATCAGCTAAACCATTGACCAATCTCTTTACCCAGTTGAAAGATGTTCTTATTTCCCTAGCCAAGCATATCACCTCTCTTATGATGTGCCTGTAAATCTAAGGTCTTTCCTTTTTGTGTTTTAATCCATCCAACCACCACCTTAAAGTTCCCCTCACAAACAAGGTTATTATAGTTGAGGGGCTTTTCCATTCTTAAACCTTATAGTACTGCTAACATTTTATCCCTAGTTTGACTTTCTAATTTCCACAACTAATTGGAAATATGTTCCTAGACTCACTTTGCTTTTACAAACTGTTCCCCATTTGATCAAGTGATCCCTTTTCTTCTAAGGTTTATTGCCTGAACATATTTCAGAGGAGGCTTAATATGGCATATCCATTATCATTTTAAACATAGAAATTCAGAAAACAATACAGAACTGGAGATATGATCAACTCAAATTAGCCTTATGCCTTAACCCCAACTATTTGTGTCAGCTATATGAATCCTGTCCTAACATCATCCTATCTCAAAAGCCATCTTTTCTATAAAAAAAGGGTCCCTAGATCATTTCTTACCACTTCAGCCCATGTTTTCATTGGTCTTCTCCTTACTCTTTTAGAGATTTCTACTTGTACCACGTCATTCCTCATTGATGTAATCATTGGTTGTCTATGCACATGAACAAACCATCTCAGTCAACTTTCCCTCTTGCCACCAATTGTGTCTACTGGCTACTCCTAAGTCCTCTCTAATGCATTCATTTCTGATTATGTCCTTTCTAGTCTCGCCACTCATCTATCTCAGAATCCACATCTGAGCCAAACTCATTTTCTGAACATGTTGTTTCTTGGAAACATGATCATTAACGAAATATATATTTCACATGTATAAATTACCAACACAAGTACATTGGGGCTGAGGGATTCCCTATAACTACACCATACCTAGAACTCAAATCTTATGTCCATTTATTAGTTATCATGATTAAGGATAGAAGGGGTATTCTTATGCCATTAAGTCAGTGGTGAGCAAAACAGAAGGGTAATAGTGCAACACAGTTGTTTTTTAAGCAAATAAGGTTGCAGGGTTCAGAATTATGAAAAGGAGTGAAACAGGTGATGAAAGAGAGCTACTGTGGTTTAACTAGACCGGTTTATGGGCTAGGTAGCCCAACAGCCCGGCCCGGTCACGGTTAGGTTTGGACATATTCTTAGGCCTGCAGACCCGGGCTTGGGCCCTATAATCTAAGCCCAACTTTTTTTTGGGCCGGCCTTGGGATTTCACAAAAAAACCCCGCCTGGCATATTTTATATAATATATATATATATATACATATATATATTATATATATTTCTATCCCTAATGCTTAATCCCATTTTCCTAATTTTCTCATTCACCTCAACTCTTTGTTCGAAGTTTGAACTCCAAGCTTGGAGGCTTGGAGCATTTCTTCCCTTCCACAGTGGTAGCTGACGACATCACCTATAGCAGTGACCGGAGAGGCAACAAAAATCTTCTTTTGAGTTCTGACTTTGAGTATGCAGACCAGCCAGCAAGGCGACGACAGCTTCTCAAGTCTATGAAACTGTTCTCTGGTCTCCAGTTTCCAATCCACCCTATTCCATCCTCTTCCAATGGCGGTTGGTGGCAGGCAACGATGACATCCTCCTCTTAGACAATGAGCGGCAACAGTTGACCCTCCTATCTCTGGTTCTCAGTCCCTCCTAGCCAACGGCGAGATTTAACCCTTCCCAGTTCCAACTTCCAAGATGCCAGCACCAATATCCTCATTCCCCAGTCCTCACAATCAGGTTTAATTCATTTCTCTCTCTCCCTCCCTCCCTCATAGCCGACAAGTGGCAACATTTGACCCTCCTATCTCTGGTTCTCAGTCCCTCCTAGCCGACGATGAGATTTAACCCTTCCCAGTTCCAACTTCCAAGTGGCCAGCACCAATATCCTCATTCCCAGTCCTCACAATCAGGTTTAATTCGTTTCTCTCCCTCCCTCCCTCCCTCTTCCCAATTCATCGACCTGTCAAATGTTTATGGGATTGCTCCAAGCCTCCAATCAAATGTGTTGGATCCTGTTTTATTCAAGTAGTTTATTGAAATGGAATTTTTTATTGGTGATTTTCATGCTTGAATTACAGTGGAGAAAAAAGAAAACTAAATTTCACATTACTAGATTAATATTGGCTTTCTCTTTGTATTTTAGTTTAAATGATGAATTGATGAATGATGATTAATGATACTAGGTGAAGGCAATTGGTCAATGGTCACCCATGTATACGTTTTTAACTTTCAACTCTACTTGAATTGAACCAGAAGGATCAAACTTTGGTTGTGAAGCTGCATTAAGCCTTTCCATGAACAGAATTGAAAAATAATGGTACAGGTGCTAAAATTTCCAATTTACAGATCGGGCTTCGGGCTTTTATGAGGGTCGGGCTCAGGCTCAAGATATAAGCCCAATGGTTGGGCCGGGCTCGAGCTTGGGCCTCGATATATTATGTTGATAAAGAGTGAAAGCCCGGCCTGGCCCAGCCCATGAACAGATCTAGGTTTAACTAGGGTAATAAATATTGGGCAATATATGGATGAGATTTCCTAGATTGATTCTGGTCTCAACATCACAAGTAATATGCTGCATTTAATATATACAGGAAATTAAAAAACTAAAAAATGAAAGAAATAAAAGAATAAGTACTGTTAAAACACTAAAAAATGTAGCACAAACATCATAATAATAATACTCCAAACAAGAGTTGCCGAACTATGATTAACCTTTTCTTGTCTTGCCAGTTTGCACCTCAGGTATGGAACCATTTTTTCCTCCTTTTTAGGGGATCATGGTTGCTTTCATCATCCATATACTGAATGGATTCTTTCTCACAATAAAAGCAGAAAATATTGTATCAGATTACTAGAGGAATGATCATGTGGAGTGAAAGTAACTGTAGGATATTTGAGAATAAGGAATAGAACATACACTTATTGATTGATCTCACTATGGTAAGAATCATCAGTTGGGTTTTGACCAGGAATGAATTCAAAAGGGTCAGTAAATATGATCTGTTGAAAGAATGGTATTTCGTGGAAAGCTTCTCCAACAGGAGACAACAAAGCAAAAGGGAATGGGAAGCACCAGAGGGGCAGAACACAATTGACTCCTGATAAGAACCTGGGAGCTTCACGAATTGGGGGAGTTGTTAGAGACAATAGAGTAAACAGTCCTCTAAGCTTTTCTGGGCCTGCTGATGTTGGGCATTCTTTAAAGGAAGAGTTCTTAGCACTAATGCAAGGTCTAAAACTTTCCTTATCTGGATGCACAGAGTTCATTGTTGAAGGTGATTGTCAAACGAAGCTAGTTATAAGCTAGTTAAAGGCTAGGAAAGGTACCTTGGACACTTAGGTTTCTAACTAGAGACTAGAGAAGCTAGAGCTCTGGCTGCCAACCTCATTCAGGTGGACATCTAAATCTGTCAAAAGTCTAGCTGATCTCCTAGACAAATCAGGAGTCACAAGGGGCAATCTTGTATGGGAAATGACCCGGAATGACCCGGGTAAGTTAATCCGTTACTGTTAATCATAGTATAATTCATAACAGGTGTTTTCACATTATTTTATGACCATTATAACTGGAACACATGTATTGGTGAGAAGCCAGAGACAACTTCTAATATGGACATCTTGTTCAAATGGATCCAAAGGTCAGCCAACTCCCTATACAAGGAATGGAAAGGTTGGAGTAATATTGTGCAATATCCCTTCATGCATACTTCATTAACATTGTAATTACTCATGTATTTCTGCTTACTTTTCCAACATTGGAAGGTCTTGGAAAAAGTGTTCAATGTTCTTTGATCATCTTTATTCTGGATTAGTAAAGCTTCCACAATCTTGTTAAGATTAAAAAAAAGCATGAAACACATATTAGTTATTAAATTTCCTGCTGAAGTGTGTGTAATACCATATTGTATAATGAAACAAAGAAAAATATGATGCCCAATGATGGTCCTAATTTGTAATGGACTTGTGGCTCACAACCATTAACATTTTATAACATCTTCAATACTAACTAAAATAACAAATCCTTTTAACATGTTAATATATGATTTAAAAATAAAGATCCTACTCTTCCAGTTTTGTCAAGTGTAGAACTTCTTACCAAAGTGGAAAATCAGACCATTCTGTCAGACATGTGGTAACATTACCTATAAGGCACAACTAATAGGTAAATATACTCACAACAACATTGTATATCAGGGTTGGTGCCTACCATGTGGAAAGACAGAATGATCAGAGACAAGAAGTGCAGAATCACAGAGGATATTAATATTTGCAGCATCAACTCGCCAAGCAGGACGCTGACAAAGAACATTCTTTTCAACTGATTCAAGGAATTCCTTAGACACAAGGATGCGCATCTGGCATTTTAAAAGAAAGCCCAAGTCAATGATCTTTCCAGGGTTTTGCTCCAAAATACAAAAAGATATTTGAATTCTGAAGGATTATGAAGTTAGTGGACTTCATTCTATGTAACAGATGAATGATAAAGATAATTGAATTGGTAGGCCACTTGGTGAACCCAGATACCAAAAAGGTATGAAATGCATTTTGTACATCCATGACTTTGCAATATCCAAATCAAAACACTATCTAATGTTCTTAAATACCTTGGATGGACATGTAACATGGTCATTATTTCAGGTTATATGGTTAATCAAAACAGGTGGCTGTATAAACATGAAATCTGGATCAATGAACCAAATCACAGACAGACAGACAATTAATAGGATTTTGATTCAAAGAGAAGGCATTTTCTTGAAATCATATTGGAATCTTTGTTATTCACCTCACCTTGTATTGGCATGAATACCATCTGAAACCAAAAATTATTAACAGTACACCATCATGCAAGAGATCATTTATTGAGCAATGGTCCTATGTTGACAGTCGACTTTAAGAACACAAACTGATTGTCCAATCATTCTGCTAGATGCCACTAACTGTTTGATGATACCATGGAAGTTCAATCAGCAACCCAATCAGCATAGATAACTTGAAATTAAAATTAAATAAGAAAAATCCAGGTATCCCATGTCAACATTTCCTACAAAATACAATAGTGTATGTACTATGCGGTAATATATAGTCCCAACTATTTTTATTATGCAAAATAAATATTATTTGTTCAATTTATCCTTGGTATTTTTTTGAATTATATTCAATTTCTTCTTGTTATTATAAATGGTTTTTGAAGTTATGAGACAACCTAGACCCAAGAGATCTTCAAATGTGGATATTATGAGTGATTGGTAAAGTCGGTACACAATCTGAGAATCAATGATAGGTTATGATACTCGTATATACAAGGGTGCCTCATGACTCATCATGTTGAATACTTCAATTTCTAGTCTAAATTTTGTATCCAACCATGTCCTTGCCGTATCCAGGTAACATGGATTTTAGGCCAACCTCTGTGTAATTTACTTAACCAATGTATGATTTGGTTCGAGTCAGATTCAGCTGCATTGCGTCAGGACACAGGAGTGGAGTACAATATCCTAGAAACCTTTTGGAACTAACACTTGCTACAAATATAGCAGTAGTTTAATCACTAATCATACATTTCTGTTTTCTGGGTTGAACATATCAGAGAAACAGAAAAGAAAGGGAGAAGAAAGGAAGAGAGAGAAGAGAAGAGAGACAAAGGGAATTCTGGGATCAAAAAGTTATGACTGGCGACACCAGTCATTAGTATTTATATTAGGGCGTCCCAACTAATAATAAAAGAAAGTAAGATTACAAGAATTCCCCTATGGCACTAAAGAACAAAAAACATAACAAAGAATTAATTAATTAAATAAGGAAACTAAATAACTAACAGATTTCAACACTCCCCCTCAAGTTGGGACATAGATGTCAATCATGTCCAACTTGTCACATAAATCATTGTGCCGCAGATGATGTAATCCCTTGGTGAAGATGTCTGCAAGTTGATTTGTGGAACTGACATATGGAGTGCACACTTCCCCATTTACAATTTTTTCCCTGATAAAATGCTTGTCGACCTCAATATGTTTAGTTCTATCATGAAGAACTGGGTTGGCTGAAATGTTAATAGCAGCCTGGTATCACGATATAAGGACATGGGGTCATCAACAGGAAGTCCCAGTTCACCCATCAAGTTGTTTATCCACATTACTTCAGCCACTCTGTGGGACATTGCTCTATACTCAGCTTCAGCACTGGACCTCGCCACAACATTCTGTTTCTTGCTTCTCCATGTGACTAGGTTCCCTCCCACAAAGGTACAATACTCACTAGTGGGCTTTTTGTCATCAACTGATCCGGCCCAGTTAGCATCTATTTATACCTCAACCTTCAAGTGTCCATTTCTTTGGAATAGTGAACCAGCCCCCGGAAACTTCTTTAGATACCTGAGGATTCTATCAACTGCCTCTAAATGTGTGGTCTTGGGGGCATACATGAATTGACTAAGAACCCCCACAACATAAGCAATGTCTAGCCAGGTCATGGACAAATATAATAGCCTACCCACAAGTCTCTAGAATTGCTTTACACCCTTGATAATCTTACCTTGGCAATCACCTAGTTTGTGGTTTGGATCAATGGGAGAGTCAGCAGGCTTAACTCCAAGTTTTCCTGTATCTTGTAATAAGTCTAGGATGTATTTCTTTAAGAAATGAAAATTCCCTTTTGTGAACGGGCCACTTCAATTCCAAAAAAATACTTCAAGGGACTTAGATCCTTCACCTCAAATTGAGTGGCTAGGAATAACTTTAGTCTTTGAATTTCCACCTTCCAGTTGCCTGTGATCACTATGTCATCAACATACACTATCAGGGCTAAAATTTTCCCTTCTCCTTTTTTCACAATGTATGATCAGTCTGACACTGTTTGTAGCCAATTTGTTGCACTGCTAGATGAAACTTACTAAACCAAGCTCTTGGTGACTGCTTTAGTTCATACAAGGACTTCTTTAACCTGCACACTTTTTGCTCTTGGTCTTGGGCATAGAAACTAGTTGCACTATGTACACCTCTTCTTCAAGATCACCATTCAAGAAGGAATTTTTAATATCTAACTGGTGGAGGTCCCAATCAAGGTTAGCAACAAGAGAGAAAAGAACCCTGACAGAATTCATCTTAGCTACTGTAGCAAATGTCTCTGCATAGTCTACTCCGTACACCTAAGTAAACCCTTTTTCCACCAACCGGGCTTTGTACCTTTCTACTGTGGCCCTATCGGTTCCTTATCCATAGGAAGATCCACTAACTCCCATGTAATGTTTTTATGTAAGGCATTTATCTCTTCTTTCATTGCATCTGCCCACTCAGGTACTGAAAGAGCCTCTGCCACATTTTTAGGTATAGGGACACTATAATGGAAGAGAGGAAGGCACGAAAGGAGGGTGAGCTATTCTCATATGAGACAAAATGGGAGATAGGATGTTTGGTGGTACAAGACCTAATTCCCTTCCTTTGTGCAATAGGGACGTCAAGGTCATTGGAAAATGAAGAATCAATAGCAGTAGGGTCAGGAATATCAACAGGAATAAAAGTACCTAGTTGGATAGGATTTGTCCCAAGTGGATCTGATGATGTTGGTGGTATAGCTTCAAGTTGCTCCACAACTTTTGAACTCGGTTGGCCCTTGCAACAACAAAGGTAGACACGAAATAGAGGAGGGTCAGGTAAAGGATGTAGTACTTGGACATGTTTCTCCTCCACCCTATTCTCCCCCAAAAGAGAAACATGAAAGAAATGATCACTCTCAAAGAAAGACACATCCATAGAAACATAGTATTTCTTGGAAATAGGGTCAAAACAACGGTAATTGTTGAAGATTAATTAGTTTTATGATGTTTTTTATGAGTAGATGTTTTATGTTAGTTGTTAGATAGGAGGTGGGGACCACAGTAGTTATGTGAATCCAAATTTTATTATGTTTTTGTGTCTTATATATGTTGTTTTATGTCTTGC